AAATGATCGCTGCTTGGATAAAAAGGAAACAAAAAATGGATGTGGGATAAGTCTGAAGTGAAATAAGAAAAAGAAAAGAAAAGAAAAGAAAAAAAAAAGAAAAGAGAAAAAAAAAAGAAAAGAAAAGGGAGAAAAATGAGGATGGTGTATATAACAGATTTGTCGTGAGAAAAGGGTTTCTTCGAAAGGGAAAAGGAAAAAAAATGAGAAGGGGAAAGGGGAGAAAAAGAAGAAAAAAAAAAAAAAGAGAGAAAAAAGAAGAAAGAAAAAACGAAGCAGAAGAAAAGAAGAAACAGAATAAAAAGAATAATAAGAAAATAGGAAAAGCTAAGAGTTTAATTCGATTCTCGCGATTCGCACTAAGGTCCTCGCATTTTCCTAACACCCTTTCAACTTTCACCGAAAAAGGAATCCTTCCCTCTCTCTCTCTCTCTCTCTCTCTCCTTCTCTCTCTTCCTCTTTCTCTAAGCCATATAAAGCAAGATGGTGGTAACACGTGCGAAACGTTGAGTAATTCACAATGGATACGCTCGATGGCAAATGTCGGCAACTCTCAGGGTGGTCCAGTTCTGTTTCCCAAGTGGGTTTTCTTGTTCCACTCTTTTTCTCTCTCTTTCTCTCTCTCTCTCTCTCTCTCTCTCTCTTTCTTTCTCTCTCTCGATATCTCGTAGTCGTTGACTTGAGAAATGTATGAGAGGAAGCAAGAAAAAGAGAATGAGAGGGAGAGAGAGAGAGAGAAAGAGAGAGAGAGAGAGAGAAAGAAAGAAACGTATCAGAGCTGATTTCCTCGTACGTATGTACATATCTATGTATATACATATATATACATATATACATATATATATATATATATATATATGTAGACGTGTGACTGGGCTTACTACGTACCTAGTTTGAATTATATCGTGAGGTGAGTTTATTTATAAGCGTTAGAGTATTTGAGAAGATCGTCGGTTAAACCTAAATTATGAAGGTTAACTTATAGAGATTTACAACAATAATAATAACAATAACAAGAACAAAAAAGAGAGGAAGAAAAAGACAGAGATAGTGATATATATGTATATATATAGAGAGAGAGAGAGAGAAAGAGATAGTTTACATCTTATTGAACTTAGTAAAATATAATATATATATATATATATATATATATATATATATATATATATATGTGCATAAGTAAAAGAGATCTTTGACAAATATGGATTCGTTAAAAGTCAACGATCATCTCCGATTATCTCGAAAAACTCTCATCTTAACTTTTATGATATTACGATATTTGAAAGATTTAGGATAGAATCAACGAATACGTTTCAAATGAGAAAAGATTAATGTTACTTAAAGGATAATCTTATCTTTATAAGGGGTTAACGAGATACATTTCTTAATATACGAATAATATATATAAAAAGAAAGAGAGAAAGAGAGAGAGAGAGAGAGAGAGAGAGATTATAAAATGAATGAAAAAAAGAGACGAAAAATGAGAAGATGAAAGATTTTGATGGAGAGTCTTTCGTCTACTACGATCGTTCGTTCCTTGCAGGGTTTTAGATATTTCGTCTTTGCGTCACGCTAAAACGGAAACGGATATCCCACACCGTGTAGTAACTGTAATGGTAATAGTAATGATACACAGTAATAGTAGTAGTAGTAGTAGTAGTAGTAGTAGTATACTCTGAGTAACCGTACTCCCGGAAGTCGTGCTAGCTTTCTCCGTAATATTCTCTCGGCTGAGAGAGAAATACAATACCTAAAATGGAGTACTTCCAGAAACACGAAAATCATCCTAACGCTCGCATAATGCGCTAATTATAACGTTGCTCGGTGAACACCGAAAGACGACTACGACGACGACGACGACGACGACGACGACGAGGACGACAACAGCGAGGACATGGATCCTCTCGTCTCTTACCTTCGCGTTTATGATAAACTCAGGACGAGTAGAACTATGACTAATTAGGTCGCTAACAGATAAGACAGAGATAGAGACAATGGAGGTAGATTGAGTGAGAGAACTAGATAGAACAATTTCTTTCTCTCTCTCTCTCTCTCTCTCTCTCTCTCTCTCAAAATCTCATGATTTTTCGTTAGAATAAATTAATTTGAAAAAAAAAAAAAGAAGGAAAGAGGGTGAGAGAGACAGAAAGAAAAAGAGACTACATTCGTTCTCATTATATTCTCTTTATATTCTCTTATCTTTAAGTCATTATATTAATAAATAAAAGATAAGAAATAATGTTATGAGATAAGAGAAATAAATAGAGAGAGAAAGAGAGAGAGAGAGTGAGAGAGAAATTTTTTTAAATTTGATGACTTCCTTTTAAAAAAAAAAAAATGATCAAATAAAAGAAAAAGTAATAAAAAAACAAGAAAGAAAGAAACAAGAGGAAGGTAGAACCGAATAAGAGACAAATAAAAAAAGAGAGAGAGAGAGAGAGAGAAACGAAAAGGAAGAAGAAAGAAAGAAGGAAATAAAAAAGAAAGAAAAATAAATAACATAAAAAGATCTCGTTCGTTTTCGTCGGGTTTTCATGTCTCCCGTCAATCAACGTGCATTATCTTTGGCTTTCGCGCAACGAGACACGAGTATCGCCAAGGTTTAGAATAAATCACGCAGATTTTGATGCTTTTCGAACGGCAGAGAGATGCACGCCATCACCATCACCATCATCGCCACCACCATCACCAACACCACTGTCACCGCCATCCTAACCAATACCAACCAATACGAAGCTATACGACCGGCAACACGCGGCTTTTCGTTTTTGGAATTTCGCCAACGATCACTCGTGATTTATAAGCTCCTCTTCTCGCACGAACGCGGATGGACTTTTCCTGCTCCCATGTATATACACCCTTCGAAGCTCTTTTGTTCTTTTTCCTTTAGCCCCGTTAACCCCTCCCCTCACCACCTCCATCCTTCATTCCCCCATTCCAACCACCTCCCGACCCTTCCTAACCTTTCACAGCGATCGATTACGATCTAATCAATTGATCCTTTATCATTTCATGATCAAACGAATGTCATGGCTAATTTTAACAATTGGCTAATTTAAACAATTGTTTTTTGTCCATTACGAACGATCGATAAGTATTCCATTTAATTGTTCATTTAATTGGATGAATTTACGACGTATTCGCGAATCGTTCATAAACCTTTTTTCTTTCTTTTCTTTCTTTTTTTTCTTTCTTTTCTTTCTTTTTTTTATAATTCACCGGATCGACAATTAAAATTGATTTATTGTAATAATTTATGAAACATGTATATATATATATATATATATATATATATATATATATATATGTATGTATGTGTGTGTGTGTGTGTGTGTGTGTATACGGGTGTATTATTTACGATATATACGAGCAAAAACGTGTGACATATATTAAATAATTCCAAATACGATTGCGCTCATTGTTCTACGATTACCACAAAATTGCATCCTGTTTTGAATAAAAAGGAAAAAAAAAAGTACAAATAAATAAACAAACAAAAAAAAAAAGTAAAAACAAACGAAAAATAAAACAAAATGTAAAAAAATAAAATGAATTACGCAAGAGACGCACGATAATATTATTTATAAAATAAACGAGGGAACCTCTCGCATATTGAATAATTCCAAATACTATTGTACTCATTGTTCCTCAATTATGACAAAGTTGCATTCTGTTAAAGTTAAAAAAAAAAAAAAATAAAAAAATAAAAAATAAATAAATGAATGAATGAACGAACGAACGAACGAACGAACGAACGAGTGAATGAATGAATGAATGAATGAATGAATGAACGAACGAACGAACGAACGAATGAACGAAAGTAACATAAAATATTCTCTTTAAAGTTTAAAAAGTTAACATGAAAGTATGAATTATGAAAAAATTCCATGGACGATTCGCATTCGACTAAGTTATTATTATATTCAAAGGCAAGACGATCGACATTCGACGTGACGTTATTTCATTATACCTTTATTACTCGCCGACCCGAATACGCCTGAGCGAGATTAACCATCGTGCCTTTATCTTACCGACCTGCATAACATTTATTTACCTCGGCCGTCATTTTTCATTTGCCGGAGAGCGCGTACACCTCTCTCTCTCTCTCTCTCTCTCTCTCTCTCTCTCTCTCTCTCTCACACACACACACTCTTTCTTTCTCCTTCTCTCTTCATCTCCTTCTCAACAGAACCGATGATTTATCGTAACATCGACGAAAAACTTGCTAATGCGTGCTCGGATGGACGGCGAGTATGAAAGTGCAGTCATGTAGTTTGCTTTCGCACTTTTAATTTTTTTCCTCTCCCCCTTTCTTTGTTTCTTTTCTTTTTTTTTAATTTTTTTTTTTTTCTTTTTTTACTCGCAGACATAGGCACTCAACGTAAAACTAAAGGAATATTCGAGAAACACGATACGCACTGATAAAGAAATTTTTCTCTCCTATCTGTACCGGATAAAAGAAGAAAAAAAAAAAAAAAAAAAAAAAAAAATCAATTTTAACAAGCTTCATCATCGTATCGCGATTAATCCTAAAATTTTTATACTTTTTATACCTTCAGAAAATATTTTACTTTTTCAATTATTTCTTCATATTATTCGAAATTCTAATTATCAACATTTAATTATCAAGCTGTCACGTAAGTAAATACTTTTGGTATTTTCCATTACATCGTACGAAATCACAATTATTATGTTGTCTCTTTGAAAATACATTGGGTATTTTATTTAAATCGTAGAAAATCTTTTAATTATTAAATTGTCCCTTGGACAATGTATTTTAAACTATTTCATTATATCGTAACTAAATCGATGCTAAATTTCTAAGCGATAATCTTCTTGAAAAAAAAAAAAAAAAAAAGAAAAAAAATATATTTGATAATATCTTTTTCATTATTCATTCTTTAAAAAGCACAAAAATACGAAAATTATTGAGAAATGTGGAAAATCAAATTTTGATTAAGAATAATATATATATATATATATACGTAATAATAAATCACCTCACGTGTATGTTCTCCTCAGGTTCCTCTGACGATAATCATCGCATACCACGGTAAAGTATCCCAAAAGACAT